CTGAACTAACTTAAGTTCAGTCTGCCCCAGTTTACCACCAATTTTACTCTTAATTATACTCTCTTCAGGTTGTGATAGGCTTTAGTCAGACCACCTAAACTTATAGAACAGTCTGATTAGCTCGTTCTTAAATAGAATAGTAGTAAATTATAGCCAAGTTATAACCATTTGGTTCCAGCATGTGCGAGGCTTTGAGCCAACCCCCCTGAACTTACAGAAGGGTCTAACTCTCTGCCAATTTCATTTCTCTCTGAATCATCATGTGCGTGGCATTGGGCTAGATCACCTGAACTTACAGAACGATCTGCCCTTTGTCAGGTTCATTTTCTCAGAATAAAAGCAAGAAGAGGGTAAGCCACCTAAACTTATAAAACAACTTAGACCTCCTCGTTCATAACTAAATAAACATAGGAAAACCCAAGATAAACAAGGCGACCAAGGCACCTGAACTTACAAAAAGCACTTGGTCCCTGAAAAGTCAACCACAGTCAGCCCTCACAAGTCAGAGCAGTCAGGCCACCTAAACTTATAGAACAGTTTGACCCTTCATGAGCAATCAGACCCCCTAAACTTATAGAAGGGTCCAACGCTCCATGCAATCCAAGATAAACAAAGCACTGGGTCTCCTCAAACTTATGAGGACCTCCGAGCCTTAGTGACCCAGTCAACCATCATGCACATCAGTCCGCCATCCTGCCTTCCCAGATGTTGTTTCTTTTAACAGTCTGATTTCATTCAATCAACAAAGTTGAAACTGAACTTGAGCACGCATTCTTTTACTTAGTCTGATTCAGTGTCCTGAAAGTCAAAGAAAAGTCAAAGTAAGGTTGCACACCATATACTCAGTCAGAGATGCAATGGGAAATACAGGTAGAGGCTATAACTGGGTTTATAGAGGGAAAGCAATGGTTACCTTACAATTCCCTGCCTCCAGAACTCCTCCTGAGGTCCGGCAGAGCTCCCGCAATCGGTGGGATGACTCCCCACAGAGTCTTGTTGCGGTCCTACGGGTTGCAATCCCGCCTGCCGCCTTCCTCTCAGAACCAATGGACTAGACTTAGAGTAAGAAGGGCAGAAGAAGAAAGGTTGAGACTCTCAGATCCAAGAGGGGTGCACTCAGACTTACGGGAGAGGACCTTGATATCTGGATACGCCTGAGGGCCCCGCAATGGCAGCCAAAGTGTAACAGCAGCTTGGTCAAACTTCAGTCATGCTGTCGACGTCAACCCCCTGGCGACCCCTCAATTCGCAGCACCATCCCTCCTTGCAATTCAACCACTCTCCATGCACTACACCTGCGCTTCCCTTAACGAAGTTGCGGTCACACGACCCCAAATAGTTGTATTCAAACAACGCAGCAGTCCTCAGTAAGCTCAGTAATTGCTGCTGCAGCACAGCAACCGAGACACACTGCAGAGCTCACAACAAAAGAGCAACAAAAAATGTTCCAGCTTCGCAGCCTATTCCTCTCTCCTCACTACTTCGTGCAGCAGAATGAGCAGCGCCCCGGCTAACAAATAAGTCTGTAGTCTACAGTTTGCCTCCTACTATTCCTTTCATAGATGAGTCAAGCAGCACCCTCGTCAATAGGTAAGTCTCATCCTAGCAGTATATCTTACTCCGGTCTCAACAAAAACAATCCCTGCACTAACCGCCAGGTAAATCTCTGGGCCGTGGTCTGTTGCTCGTGCTCAGCAGGACCTACGTTGTCCTGATCGGCAAGCAAGCCTGTGCTCTCCTTGGTTGGCCTGCCGCTTCTACTGTTTTAGTGAGGTACACAGTAGATGACAAATCAATTATCTATGGCCAACAGCATGGCCAGGTCTGTGGACCATCATCAATAGTATGGTCAGAACCGGATGAATCCGCAGCTGAAACGTGGAAATATACACCGCCATCCAGTCCGTGCAGGTAAGTATCTCAACACCGTTTTCTCCCTCTCGCTCTCTTCTTCCCGCTCGCTATAGATCACTTGTTCAGTCATGCACGCCGCCCCATTGCTGTGCTAGGAGAATGAATCTTCCCCCAGACTTCGGGAAGGTACATTATATCCTACTAAGAAAAAAAATGACTTGGCTTATGGGCGCAGTCCGCATCACCGAGCCCTGCCAACCTACCGAGTTATCGTCAAAACTAGCCTCATTATGCACTCGCCCGGGGCAAAACCCGCCGTCTACCGCCCTCTTTCACTCGACTCATCAAGATTTGAGTGAAACTCGATTCTTTCCTAACCATCATCTCTTCTTCCCGCCATAACTCAGCGCACTAACTTTTTCTACCAACTCCACTTCTACTTACTTTCTACTAATTCTAACCCCGTCATGCCACTCGCCTCCTCTCAAAACCTCTATCTCCCTTCCTCTTTCACTCGATTTCATCGAGAACCGAGTGAAATCTCGATTCATTACTACCTAACCTTTCTTCTCCCGCCATATCCCGGCGCAGCTCGTTTCATACTAACCTCTAATTTACTAACTTTCATCTAAAACTAACATCAAGATCGGAGTCGCCGTGGTCTAAAACCCCCAGATTGGTCTTCACCTCGCCCGATTCCATCATGGAACGACCGAGCTATGTCTTTTCTCCCCTCCGCCATATCTCCCCGAAGCTCCTTCTCACTGCGCACGTACCTGGCGCAACTTCGTATCCAGGTTCATTCCCCCCTTCACCCCTTTTCCTGCCTGCTGCCTTCGCCCCTGCGCACATTCTTTCCTCTCAGGCTCCCATTCTACCAACCCAACACTAAAACTGACGCCAGCCTTACGCTCGCCTTACCCAGAAAACTCAGTTTAGATCTTTCACTCCACTCGATTCTACTGAGAATCGAGTGATATCTCGACTTCTCACTCCTACCGCCTTCCCGTCTGCCATAGCTCAACGCACCTTCATTCTCTTCTAGCTCCAACTCTACTAACCTTCTACCCAAACTGACATCATAATCAGCTTCGCCAACCCTCAAAACCCCCGTGTCCATCTCTCGCTCGATCGATTTCGTGCTGTATTGCACGTGTTATCCTCTCCCCGGTGGGCCCCGACTCGTCCTTCGCCATCTCCATTCCTTGAATGCATCTGGCGCAGATTCGCGCCAGATTCACCCTTTTTTCTTTTTTTTTTGTTTTTCTTCACCTTTGCTCCTCGCTGGCGCTGCCTTCACTTGCCTTTACTATAGGGGCATACCTCTTCCTCCTCGCTAGTGTTAGCCCCGCCGCGTTTAGCCCGTTCTCCTCCCTCTCTATGCCTGCACCCGACGCAGGCACCCGTCCAGGTTCGTCCCCCTCTTTGGCACTTCGTTCCCCTCTGTGGCTTGTCTCCCTCTGCACTCCGCTTCGTCGTTCTACAACCTTCACACCCGCTGTTGCCTAACACTACCCGGTCGGACTGCCCGTTTTATCGATCCTACAGCGCCCCTCCTCGTCTCTTCTGGAGCACAGGCTCCGACAACGGACTCCGTCGTAGCAATCGGTGAGCCGTCTCAGCAGCTCTAGCTATCCCTGAAGGAAAACTTCGGAGGGAACCAGCTACTAGACGTTTAGATTAGCCTTTCGCCCCTATACCCAAGTCCGGTGATCGACTTGCATGGGCCGGTTTTGTCACGGCCACTCCCTCTCGTCCCGTTCAAGCAGAACCCGTTACCGCCTCGGGCTTCCATCAGTCAACCCTCACACAGACAGCCGGCCACGACGCGGCCTACTGCAAGCCTTGGAGTAGGCCTTCGTGGACTGGGCCCGACGCAGCTCTCGGCGGTCGCGACAAATATTCAAATGAGAACTTTGAAGACCGACGAGGGGGCGGGTTCCATAGGATCCGTAGCCTGCCACGGCCCCGCTGCGGTTTCCCTACGGTGGTTCTAGTCGCGCCCTGCTTAGGCATAGCCCCCCATCTTTCGGGACCCAACGGGCAGCCCACACCCAAACCTCTCACAGCGAATAGCGGGGTCGGGCGGTTCACGACAGTTGATCCCCGCCGCCTGGGCCCTCCCGCGCCGTGTTTTTCAAGGCGAGTAGGATATAGGAATTTCGCCAGCACCCCGACCATGTAGGAGCCCCGGAGGTAAGCCGAAAGAGACGCGTGCTCAGGGTCCCCGACTACCACTCAAGCCTCGGCACGTAGTCCAAGGTCTGGGGCCGCACCAGCCAAACTAAACTGGCGAACCGTCAACAGCCCCTGCAATGCGGTGTCACGCCCGACTCGAGGAGAACAAACGGAAAAATAAAAATGGGGACAAAAATAAGCCCTTGACACCGCACACTCCCAGGCCTCGAATGGCCGCACCTCGTCGCCGACACTCCATGCTCGCCAAGCTCCTGCACCTATCGCGCGAAGACCTGACCCGCGTTCTATCCCCTACACACTCCATTTACCACACTAAAGTCACGTCACTGTCGAGGTTGATCTCCACGCACGCGCGCATGCCTCAATCAAACGTACCAATCAAAAGGAAGGCGTTCTTTAATCCTAAAATAAATAATAATAATACTAATAAAACATGGCAAGCGGCATCCGTGCCGGCTTTACAATCATCAACGGGGGAAGAAATCACGCACGCCTTAAATCCGCGTGCTCACACACTCTCTACTTCTAAAACCTTCCGGTCAAACTTTCAGCCGATAGACTGCTACGACTCACGCGGTCTACTCAAAAATTCGGACTCAAACTTATTTTCTGTCACTTGCAAAAACCAGGGCGGATACCCTTGTAAGGGTATTCGCGCCGACACCGATGCCTATGCGTATACCAAGGGAGAGCCCAACTCAGAGGAACCCGGCTAAAGGGAGACCATCATGCGACACAACGAGGGTACTGTATAGGGTAAAATGGTAAGAGAGTGACGACGTCTGAAGTAGGCAGAGCTGATCGTGAGGAAGTCCATGAAGCTGCCGATGACATCCACGATAAGAAGTCCGGAATGCCGTCGAGGAAGAGCCGCAACGTCGACGAGCTGAAGTGGCAAAATTGATGTGGATGGAGTACTGAGAAGTCAAAGACGTGGGAAGGTACGTCAGAGTCAATTGTCGTATCAAGCAGGATGACGACGAGTGCGCTGTGGACGCTCAGAAGCATCCGGCTACTGCTGAAGGTCCGCCTCAGATGGAGCACGCTCGACTTCAGCAGTCTCCTCAGCCAGGGGAGAAGGAGGAGGGTCAGTGGGCTGAGGAGGAGTGAACCCAGCATGACGTGCACGGTCATAGGCACGCACCAACATGCGAGCATGCGGCAAGTGCTCGAGGGGCTCCCAAGTAGCCTCCTCATTAGGGTAACCCTTCCAACGTACAAGATACTCGACGTGAGGAGGGTTGTCGTCGGTGACTCGGCGACCAATGATGTCTGAAATGAGGAACTCCTCGTGGTCATCCACCATGATGGGGGGAGGGCGCTCGTATGGTCGTCCAGCGAAACRCTCAGACGGTCTGCGGTAAGGATGCAGTAACGAGACGTGGTAGACATCGTGCACACGAGCCTGGCGTAAGTAGTTGGGCAGCTTCACACAGAAGCTGACCGGGCTAGAAGCCGTATCAGAACCGACGACCTGGAGGATGCGGCATGGGCCAAAGAAGCGACGCCGAAACTTGCAAAGCGTGTCCGCTTCGAGCTGTAAGTGACGGGCGTCAATAAGCACATCATCACCGACTTTGAATGAATGATCTATCCTCGATCGGTTCGCACGTGCTGCCATGCGAGTCTGGGAAGCGGCTATGTGTTCATATGCGGTCTTCATGATCGATGTCATGTGTGCAACCCAATCATCCAGCGTGGGACAACTCATGTCGGGGTGCATCTGTGACGGTCGAAGGAAGTCCGCGGGAACACGAGGGTGATAGTCGAAGTCGCAATAGTAAGGCGACATCCCCGTGGCTGGCGAGACGGCGTGGTTGTAGGCTATCTCCGCGTGGGTAAGATGGAGATCCCACTGCTGGTCGTCACGAACAATCTTTCGGAGAATATCTCCGAGAGTCCTGTTTATGACCTCGGTCTGACCATCAGTCTGGGGATGGTAAGACGATGAGAAGTGGAGCTGAGTGTCGTAAACCTCGTGGAGTCGTCGCCAGAATCGGCTGGTAAAGCGCGGGTCACGGTCAGATATGATGCTCAGAGGTAAGCCGTGGTCACACACGACTCGGTCAAACATGATGTCGGCGACCTCACGTGCGCTGATGGCATAGCGGCATGGAACAAAGTGTGCACACTTCGTGAAGCGGTCGACGACGACCAGGATAGCATCATGACCGCGGGGGGTCGGAGGACGAAGAGGACTGATAAAGTCCATTGAGATGGACTGCCAACGACCCTCAGGGATAGGAAGAGGCTGGAGCAAACCATAAGGAAGGTGGTTCGCACTGTTCACCTCTTGACAGGTGGGATACTCTGCGACGTAGTCCTTCACAAAGTCCTTGCACTTCGGCCAAACGTACAGGCGGATCACACGAGCCAACGTCTTGTGGAATCCCATATGACCGGCGGCTGCCTGATCATGGAACTCTTCTACTGCTCGGACACGTAGTTGTCCAGTGGAGGGAACGACAATACGGGGCTCTCTAGTGTCTTGTGAATTGTGCCAGTGCACAAGATCGTTGTCCCCGAGAGAGTAGTTCGGGACGGTCTTGCCACTCTGAAGGGTCGCGTGGATGTCGGGGCAGTGGCGGTACTGAGTGCGAAACTCGTCGATCACCGAGTGGTGGACGGTGGTGACCGAGATGGAAGAGAGCTGGATCTGCTCCTGGTCGTGGTCAGGACGCCGGGATAAGGCATCTGCGACCCGATTAGTCTCACCCTTGATGTGCTCAATGGTGAAACTAAACTCGGATAGGTCGCGCCACCAGCGAGCCTGTCGAGGAGTGAGCTTCAGTTTTGTCAGAAAAGCCTGGACAACGGAGTTGTCCATGCGCACCGTGAATGGTGCCCCGTGCAGGTAGTGACGCCAGTGCCGGACGGCATAAACTACTGCGAGAACCTCACGTTCATCAGCGGTGTAGTTTATCTCGGCAGGCAGGAGCTGACGGGAGTAGAAGGCTATCGGACAATCACCTGAGCGAGACTCGACAGTGCTGTCCTCGATGATGGTAGGAGAATAATCAATAGAAGGCTCGTCAGTAGCTGGACGAGTAGGCGTCAGCGGGAAGCAGTGGTAGGGGTAGGTGGTGGGAAGCGAGGGATACGAGGATGAGAGGAATTAGGAGAGGAGGGGAAAATATGAGAAAGCACTGCTCCTACGGCAAAGTCTGACGCATCGGTGATAAGGATAAAAGGGTGATCGAAATCGGGTAGGTGGAGAACCGCTGCACATGTCACCGTCTTCTTGAGGGCGAGGAAGGCGTCCTCGTGGAGGGGTGTCCAAGCCCATGGTGGGTTCTTCCGGAGGAGGGTGGAGGTAAGGACGTAGGAATACCTAGCGTATCCTTGGATGGAATTACTATAGTAGCTGGTAAGGCCAAGGAAGCTGCGAAGCTGCTTGGCGGATGTGGGGACGGGTCACTCCGCAATAGCAGTGATCTTCGCGTCGTCCATATGGAGACCCTGGTCAGACACGTAGTGTCCTAAGAAATTCACTTTGTGCTGGGCAAAGCGACACTTGCTCAGCTTGGCATAGAAGCCATGTTTGCGCAAGCGGTCAAGGACGTCGCGGAGGTGTCTGAGGTGCTCGTCAAGGGTACGACTGTAGACCAGGATATCGTCGAGGTAGACGAGAACGTACTGCTCCAGGATGTCCCTGAAGATGTTGCTCATCGCCCTTTGGAAGGTAGCGGGTGCGTTGGTGAGGCCGAATGGCATCACCGTAAACTCGTACTGGCTGAAGCGCGATCGGAACGCTGTCTTCGGTTGGTCGGCTGCAGCGACCCGGATCTGATGGTAACCACTACGAAGATCAATCTTCGTAAAGAAGCGGTTGCCTGCTAGGCGGTCAAACAGCTCGTCGGAACGAGGCATGTGGTAGTTGTTCTTGACCGTGTAGCGGTTGAGACCGCGATAGTCGATGCAGAGACGGAGAGTTTCATCCGCTTTGCGAGCAAAGAGGACGGGTGCATCCCACGGGGAGTTGCTGGGTTTAATGAAACCCAGTCTCAGGAGCTCCTCAAGCTGACGCTTGAGTTCGGTGGCCTCGGGGATCGAGAGTCTGTAGGGTGCCTGGTGGTGAACACGATAGTCAGGCACAAGCTGGATGGAGTGCTCGACGTCGCGCATCGGTGGGATGCCGGCGTACGAGAACGACGATGGAAAAACGTCGTGGTACTCTCGAATGAGGTCACGAACTGCGGGCTCCAGGTCGGTCGTATAGCGTGCGAGTTCCTCAGCGTCATCGCGAGACGACGGGGTGCACTCGACGGACGGCGGAGGGAGGGAAGTAGAGAGGGAGAGAGGGCGCAAGGCTAGCGAGGGCGCCGTCAAAAGGGAAGGGGTGGTTCGGGTCCAGGGTGCCCGAATAGGAAGGGGAAGTAAGGGGGGGGTTGAAAAACCCTTAACCCTAGGAAAACCCTAACCGAAGTTTGAGTGGTTAGGGTAGGGTACCGGTGACCTAATCAAGAAAATAAAATAGCAAGCATAGGGGGGGGAAGGGGGGAGAAAAATAAATAAACAGCGAGATTTCGAAAAAAAAAATAAAAAAAATATGGAAATAAATAAATAATAAAAATAATTAAAGAAATAAGGAAATAAAATATAAAAAAAGAAACAATATTTATTTTTTTAGAATTTTTGGCAGCAATAATAAAAATAATTAAAGAACTAAGAAAATAAAATATGAAAAGAGAAATAATATTTATTTTTTTAGAATTTTCAGCAACATTTCCCTACCCCCTATGGAGTCAAGAATGTGCCAAGGGAAAGAAGAGACCAAGATAAGCAAACTAAGTTTCAAAGTGCCGCAAATGAAATTTTTCATAAAATAAATAAAGAAATAATAAGTAAATAGATAAGGAAATAAATAAAAAAATAAGTAGAGGATGGGGTGACGAAAAATAAAGTGTTGGCTTTTTTAAAAATTTCAGCAGCATTTCATTACCCCCATGGGGTCGAAGTGTGCCATCAAGAAGAAAGGCTAAGTAAAGTGGGCTATTTGAGGTCCGCTATACCTTGATTCGATCAAGAATGAACATACAACACAAGCAAGTGTCAAACTTCAAACATGACTCGACCGACACAATACAGAAGAGCGGCAAACGAAGTTCAGATGAGAAGAAGCGAAGGATCTGGTCTCTCTTAAGAACGAGTCCACAATCGGATTAAAGTCACAAAATGAGCTTAGTCAAACCCCCTCCATAATTCTGATCCCTCACTTCCTCTCTATAGTATCAAAATACTCAGACCATGTGATGGTATGCTAAAGTTACTCTCATCATTCCAGACTCACAACTAGTCGGACATAATTAGTCCCCATCTAGCAAGAACTTTGCCAGCAGGCCACTCTGTTGAGTACTATGAGCCTCTTTTTAAAAACTTGATTCATGAGGTAATCTAGAGGTTCGGTTTTCTAAGCGATCCGGAACCAAGGGTTTTGATGCTCTCGATATGAGCCTCTTTTTGAAAACTTGATTCATGAGGTAATCTAGAGGTTCGATCTTCTCAGCGATCCGAAACCAAGGGTTTTTATGCTATCGATATAGACATCCCAACCTCCCTCTCTCGCTATGTGCAGCGACTCTTCTCAGATGTATATCTTCTTTGCATTCTCCATTGACTCGTAAAGTCTGATCATGTAACAAAATAGTGGTTGTCTTCCCCGTGACATGCTCAAGATTTGTTGTTCTCAGTCTAGCGATATAAGGGAGGAAGAAGTTTATCAACTCCCATCCCTCAAGGTCTGCTTACCCTTTTAACTCTCCCAATGTCTGAATTGGATCGTCCTCCATCCAAAGACTATAAGAGAGAAAGTCAGATTGGGTCTAGAGGACATTTTTAAGAGTATACCCTAAAAAGGCTTCCGTCAAAAAATATTTGATATGACGATAACTATGATTGCTCGACAGGTGGAGGATTGAGGCAACTTGACCAATTGTTGACTGAATCTGCCTGACGGTAAAGATTGATAGGTTTGCACTGTTGATTGAATCCGACTTGGGATTGCCAACACGCCTAATAATCTGAGTTGCTGTGCTTTGGCGCTATGTGATCTTACTGATGACTTGTATTCGTCTGAAAAGATGAGACCGACACTGTCCAAGATGCCACCAATTAAGCTGGTCGATTTTCCGATGAATAAGACTATTTGAACTGCAGGGGATTAATGTCACTTATTTCAAGTCCTTCGTGACCTTTCAAAGTATGAAATAATTTATTCTTAGTTCTTTGTAGTTGTCCTGTTGTTGTGTCATGACCGACTTCACATTTATTATAGGTCCATTGTGTTTTGTATAGGTCGTTGGGTCACCAATCTTTATTATTGTCTATTTGTTGGACCTTTTGAGTTTGGTGTATCCGTTTACTAAGTCTGTCGTGATCAGGTTGCTTTCAGAGTTATTTGTTTTTAAACTTATTGTGATCATCCTGCTTGTCCGGTCGCTTATTTTTGAACCCACATCTGACCCGTGTTCAGTTTGTGCTAAGTTGGTGTTCAAAACGGTATCCAAGTTTGTGCAACCTCTATGATTGAATCCCTGCTTTGATTGAGTTCAAACCCGTAACAAACCAATATTGAAACTTGTACTGAACTCTTGTCTGAATTCTCACTCGGTTTGTATCTGAGCCAGTGTCAGATTTTCCCTTGACCTGTGCCTATGATGAACTTTCCCAACCTATCTAAGATCAACGTCTGAGCTTGAGTCCAAGTCTGTCCCAAATCGACGTCCAAACCTGAGTCCAGGCTTGCTCCGAACCAGTGTCCAAGATCGGGTCCAGATCTACCCCGAACGAGAGTTTGAACTGAGTCTTGGCCGGTCCTGAACCAGCGCCTGAACCTCAATCAAAGCCTGCCCTGAACCAACGTCCGAACCCGAGTCCAAGCCTGCCCCGAACAGGCGTCCGAACCGGAGTCTAAACTTGCTTCGGACTCATGCTCGAAGGTTGGTTCAAAGTCAATCCTTTCAGGTGGATTTTTTTATCACTTATGCGAGATACACTGTTGTGGGTACTGCATAGTCAATATGATTCATTTCCACCCTGATTTTCTCTCTTCTTCTTCTTTTATTACATTGAGTTCATTTTTCCCTCTCGTTTGGTCTCCCTCTCACCCGACGTACATAGCCAATCAATTCAACTTCCCTGACATTCTTAGTGTTATGTATGATTAAAAAAATGACAAGTTATAGAAGTCTTTGCTAACAATAATGATCTCAACAAATGGTAATAGTAGTAATAATCGAAAACAATAACCATAGTAGTAATAATAAAATATAATAATAATAATAATAATAATAATAATAATAATAATAATAATAATTGTAATAATAAATCAATGATGATGATTATGGTAGTAACAATTATTATAATCATTTTACTATTATTATAATTATTACGATTTAGATAAAAGGAGAGGCCACAAGGGGGTTAAAATGCGGCAACCTTCACGGATAACCAACCTAAGAATATGCTATGAATCGGTTATGAAGTCAGACCTCCAGGCGATAACTCACTTAAGGGAGCAAGGCGCACCCCAAAATATATCCAAGCTTACGGGTTAACTTTAAAACCCTACCAAAGCAAAACCTCATATTATTTTGAAGTATTGTTCAAGGGTTCGTATGGGCTGAGGATACAAGTATAAACTCCCTACAATTTTTGAGGCCAATGCTTAAAGCTGTAAAAACCATGATCACTGCATTGAAGCAGGTGGTCGTGTTGTGTCGTCCGAAAGGGCAATGTCCCTCTCAAAATTTCTACGGTCCGCACATGACAATTCTTACTACGGGATCTCTGAATTCTCCTTGGTATGGTACCACCGTGGAGTTTTTTCCCCAGTTCCCACGATCTCGAATTTAATTGAATTGTCTCTTGAAGGTTGAAGTCCTTGCGTGAGTACCTTCTCAGGCAACCTAGTGCCACGTGGATTCTCAAGTCTCGGACTCGCTATTGACATCGAGAGTAAGTTTTTAGTTGATCAACAACCTATCACTCTCGATTCTTAGACGGAACTACATTAGGTAAGCTAATCCAGGGATAATTTTAGTTGATCAACAACCTATCACTCTAAATTCTTAAACGAAGCTACATTAGGTAAGCCAATCCAGAGATAATTTCCAATCTAGATGCCGAACCGTCTCAACCTAGGTTGAATTAGTCATGATAACAAAAGCGAAGTTAGAGAGGGTTACAGAAATGAACGTGAACTTGATAAAAAACAGAGTAGTCATACTACTTTCCTCTTTGCGTGATCCCGCTTCCTCTAGTCATAATCCAAACAACATATCATATCTTTTCCTTTTTGGTTAAAACCCTATTTGACCGCTCTACGGCCCCACCCTGTTAGACTCTCGAGCTTGAGTCGACCCTTCAATGGTCTAAGCTAACTCAGCTCCGCTCATGCGCAAGCCCAGGGCACGGAACATTCGTCACAGAATCACCCCCACCTACTGCTTTGAGATGGATGGGGATGGGCCAACACATGAGAGAGCTTTGACATAGAAGATGTAGCTCAAACCTCACTCTAGGTAGGTAGTCTCGTTGATCCTTGACAAGCGTCTTCTCGATACTTTGTTGTGTTTGCAGACAATTGCTTCTTCCAATACTCATGCAGTCCAAGGAGTTGTTTGCGAGTTCATCTTCCTTTATGCTTAGGTCAAGCGTCCTTCTTGCGCCACACATCCATTTGCTAGGTGTACAGTCTAGCGGCATTGACGAGACAGAGAACTCGCCCCTCGGCTTAGGGATGTCGACCAAGTCATGTGACCCTTATTGCCTCACTAGGGCGCCTTGTTCGTTCTCGGCCTCTTGACGTTCTAAGTGCTCACATCCTACGCACCTTGCAATAGTCATTCATCACATATCATGTTCCGACGCTTTTCTATACACCCCTTAGTCTTTTCGGGGGCCTTCCCACATACTCAAGGGACTCTTTCATCTATTCAATCATCTTTGTCAAAGTCCAATCATTTGGCCCTCCTTTCTTTCAACGGAGGGCCGCACAAATCAAAAGGGTCATCCATGGGCGAGGATTACGTTTACAACCCAATTTTTTGCTTCTCTTTCCTTCCGCCACTCGGTCTCACCGGGTGCCGTCCTGCTCAAGGTAGTTTAGAGAGCTACTCACCTGCACACTCAATGCAAGATAGGAACAAGCACAACCCCCATTTAGGGTCAACAAATAATCTCTCCCGCATGTCTATTCTCTTTGT